GGGAGTTCTGGGGGGGGCTGTCAGGGGGTGGGGAGTGGTTGGATGGGGCGTGGGAGTCCCAGGGGTCTGTCTGGGGGTGGGGGTGTGGATAAGGGTTGGAGCAGTCAGGGTACAGGTAGGGGGTAGGGTCCTAGGGGGCCAGTTAGGATGGGGGGAGGGTCTCAGGAGGGGGCAGTCAGGGGACAAGGAGCGGGGGGGGGAGGGTTGGAGGTTCTGAGGGGGGCGGGAAGTGGGAGGGGCAGGGGCGGGGCTAGGGCAGGACGGGGGCGGGGCTCCTCCCGTCCTCTTTTTTGCTTGCTGAAATATGGTAACCCTAGATTTAAATCATGATGTTTTTAATCACTAGTCAGGAAGACTCGATTTAATCATGGTTTTCTACATAAAAGTGCATTCTTGTTGGTTGTTATAAGCTTAATACATTTTCTTCACAACTCAGAGATTGATATGCTGCTCAAACAGTTTCACTTTTGTTTCTATGGCCTGTCCCTCCCTTCTCACATTTATCTCCAGACTTCTTCTCCTTGTCCAGATCTATTCCGCCCCCAACAATCTTCTATTCATTGAACTTTTTGAAACTTCGCACTTTTAGAGAGCGATAAGGGATTGACTCTGTGTACACAAATTTGCAGAGGGACAATAGAGTTGAGGTCTGTTATTTCTCACCTCTATATAGTATATTATTTATTTATTTAAAACCAGTTTTGCTGTTAACAAGCATGTTACCTCTGGAGACACAAATCTACAGTTTGAGAACTGCAAAACTAAGCATCTCTGATGGTATCTTCTAGACTGAGCTCTGAGTCCCATTGGGTAGATAGAAAGATTAACCTAAATAATCTATACAGAAGCCCCTGGCACCCCATAAGATTGGGTCCCTAATCCATGAACTATTGGAACTTATTTACAAAACTTTTCTTAAACATTAAGTGAATATATTATCTCATACTATCGCATTAGAATTTATAATCCCTATTCCATGATGAGATATCTTTGAGCTATAATGTATCTTAATTAAAACTATCTTTAGATAGGTTTTTTCCTCAAAGAGCATTTTATCAAGAAATCTGACTTAAATTAAAAAAAATCCATTTTTTTTTCAATCATTGATTTTTATCCACCCTGCTGTATGCTGTATTTGTTAATTGATTGTATTTAACTGCCCCCTGTGGATTTAAATTAATAGTGACATTTAATCTTAGTCGGTTATACCCTGTTTCTTTACATAAATTGTTAAGCAAAGTAAGTAAGGTGTGTTAACTCTAATCTAGGTGGGTGGGATGTATATTATTTATAATTGGTATTTCTGAGTTACACTCGTGCCACAGATTATTAGTAATTATAATTATTATTAGAACGAGTTTATCCCTGGAGGTTCCCAAGGCACACCATTGCGTGTGTATAGGAACCAGCCAGGTGGAGGCACTGCTAATTTTAAATTCTTTTAGGAGTAAAGGGACTGAAGCAGAGGGGTGGATAGAGTATTCCCACCTATCCAACAGCACCACTAGGATACCCAGCATCTACTGGCATCAGGCACCCAGTCACACAGGGGAGTGTTGCCTGCTCCCGGGTAACCCAGGGAGGAAAGTGGGGGTTACACTAGAGCACACTTTGTCCCACCTGGGTGGCTTCTGGAAAGGATTGGTTACAGGTTGAGGGTTTTGTGTGTGTGTCAACAGCTTTTTGTGTTGGTGTTTCCTCTCCCTACGCTTCCTGTCTTCCAGTTCCAGGGCTTTCTGGTGTGCTCCCATTTGCTATGGCTTTTCTGCCTCTCGCTCTCTGTTCAGCTTCCCATTTCTGGTGCTCACACTCCTTGTTGGCTTTCTCTAACTCCAGTCTGGCCGGCTCTAACTTCATGGAGGTTTCACCGAGGCTAGTCTCTGCCTTGATCATTTTTTACTTTCTTTTCTTCCCTTTCTATCACCCAATATAAACAAACAGAAAATGTCAAAACTGGAACCTTTTTTGTCTCTTTCCAACTTTCTCATCTATGAATCTTAAAGAATCTAATTTACCAGTGCTGGGAGGGTGACGCTCAGCCAACTGTGTGTAAATCCTGCCAACACTACATCACTGTGACGCTTTCTCAGGGTGCCCAGAACTATGAGTCATGTTGTTATCCCTCTGCCTCAGCCTTTACTTGGCCTTGAGGGTAACACTTGGTACAGCCCAGTTACCGAATCCCCTTTAAGAGCATTCCCCTGTAATGCCTAGCCCCTGTCACTGGACACTCCCAGAAATTACCCAGTTCGCTCGCTCCCAAGAGACATTGTAGACACCAGCCTGTTTGATTCACCTGAGGATTCACACTTGGCTTCATATTACAACACTGAGAGGTACTTGTGATAAACAAGAAGAAGTTTATTAACAAAGCTAGAGATTTAAGTGATACTGAGTAAGGATAATGGAAATAATTGATTACAAATAAAGCAAAAAGACAACCCGCTTCTACAAGACTAGAACTTAACTTCAGCAAGTTACTCTTATGTAAAGCAGTTTCTCACCTAAAGTCACTTGCTCACATGGCCAAGATCCAACTTTCAAGAATGCAAAAAGCACTGTCCTTTTTGCTTCTTCAGTGAAGGATAACCAAGGAGTTTTTCTTCCTCCTTCTTATTATCCATGAAATGGATTCTTTTCCCAGTGTACCCCCAGAGAAAGGGTCCCCTCCCCCCCACTCATTCTCTGGTGTGCTGACACCATGGTGCTTTCTTCATCCTCCAGCTAACATAACCTTCCTGTTTACCTCAGATGCAAATGTACCTCCCATTGTATTTGGCTTCACAATACTTGACTTACATCAGAGTCCTGGGCAGACAGGTACATCAACATTCCTTTGCTGGGGAAAGACTTGTTTATCAACCCCTGTGTTTTCAACATATTTTCGTACATACATACAACTTAATTATTTCACATACATACATCATGCAATGCTTATAATAACCAGTATGCTATAAGCTTTCATTTGACTCTAACATGACCTTTTTTACAGATATATACTCTGACAGCCATGTGGTGAACAGACCAGATAGGAGTTGCTGTTATAGGACAGTGACCCTTTGCCAGTTGGGACTGAGGGACTCAGGCTCAGAGTCTGGGTTTGTTTGGAGAAATTAATTTAACAATCACAGATTTGTAAGGAAGCTAAAATAACTTAATCTTAGCATTGTAACTTTTAACAGTGTGAGAAACCAAGGCTGATTCCGTAAGGTTAATTTTCCTTGTAGACACAAGCTGGACTTTTAAAGGTATTTAGGCCTTGTTGCACTCGGCGTTGCAACGCCTAACTGGTTTAAGAGCATAAGTCTCATTTTCAAATGGGATTTAAGCACTTAGGAGCTTTGACAGGATATCTTAAAGAAAAGACAGAAAACAGTGCTGCATATCCCATGGTTGCTAGTCACATCTTTGGTGGGTTTTGAAGTTTGCTTTTCAAAATATCAAAAGAAGCTACAGCAGTTAATCCTTGGTGTAACTCCAGTAAGGTCAATAGAGTTTCACCAATTTACACCTCATCTGAACTTGGCCCTGTAAGTGTCTGGGATTTTATTTTTAGTAAAATGACTGCCATGTTTGATGTTGTAGTTTGAGTTACTATAAGTTTATATGAAAGTTGAATAGATCTCACAGCTCTAGCCAAAGGGCCTAATTCGTCTCTCAGTGACCTGGCTGTAAATGCAGAGTACTACAGTGAAGCTAATGGAGACACTCCATTACAAATCCAGGCTGAGAGCTGATACAGGACTGTAAATCCATATGGTTGCTCTTAAGTTAATGGAGTTAAACTAGGGCTACCATATGTCCGGATTTCCCCGGACATGTCCGGCTTTTCTGTCTATAAATAGCTGACCGGGGGGAAATCCCGGACATTTTTAGATTTTTAAAAATCCCCCCCGGTCGGCTATTTATAGACAGAAAAGCGGCGGCCAAGGGCCACTGGGCACCCAAAGCCCCTTCCCGGCTCCCCCCATCCCCTGCAGCCTTACCACACTGTCCGGCCCCACAGCTGTCTTCCCCGTCCTCCCCTCCCCTGAACGCTCCGCCCACCTGCTCCTCCCCCTCCCCTGAACGCTCCGCCCCCCTGCTCCTCCCCCTCCCCTGCTTCCCGCAAATCAGATCTTCACGGGAAGTCTGAAAAGAAGCAGGGGCAAGCGGGAGGCAGCAGCAGGTAAGCTGGGGCGGGGGGGCGCGAGGAGGAGAGCTCCGGGGAGGCGCGGCCCTGGCCGAGCGGCTCCCTCCGGCCCGGGCCGAGCGGCGCCCGGCTGCCCCAGCGGCTCCGGTCCAGCTCGGGCCCCAGCACCCCCAGCCCGGACCCGGCCCGGCTCGGGCCCCAGCAGCGCCGGCCCAGCACCTCCGGCCCGGCCCGAAGCCCCGCAACCCCGGCCGGAGCGCAGCCCGATTCCTGGGCTCTTTAAAGCCGGCCCTGGTCAGGAGACAGGGAGTGGGGGTTGGATGGGTCGGGAGTTTGGGGGGGGCTGTCAGGGGGGCAAGGGTGTGGAGAGGGGTTGGGACAGTCAGGGACAGGGAGCAGGGGGGTTAGATGGGTCTGGGGGGGCTGTCAGGGGGGCAGGGGTGTGGAGAGGGGTTGGGACAGTCAGGGACAGGGAGCAGGGGGGGTTAGATGGGTCTGGGGTTCTGGGGGGGCTGTCAGGGGGCAGGGGTGTGGAGAGGGGTCGAGGCAGGCAGGTAGCAGAGGGGGTTGGATGGGTCAGAAGTTCTGGGGGTCCTGTTGGGGGCGGGGAGCAGTTGGATAGGGCATGGGAGTCCCCGGGGGTCTGTCTGGGGGCGGGGGTGTGAATATGGGGTGGGGGTGTGGATAAGGGTTGGGGCAGTCAGGGAACAGGTAGGGTCGTAGGGTGTTCTCAGGAGGGGGCAGTCAGGGGACAAGAAGCAGGGCGGCTTAGATAAGCGGTGGGGTCCTAGGGGGCAGTTAGTGGCAGGGGTCCCAGGAGGGGGCAGTCAGGGGACAAGGAGCGGGGGGGGTTGGAGGTTCTGAGGGGGGCAATCAGGGGGTGGGAAGTGGGAGGGAGTGGATGGGGGTGGGGCAGGGGCGGGGCTAGAGCAGGGCTCCTCCCCCCCCAGTGTCCTCTTTTTTGCTTGTGGAAATATGGTAACCCTAGTTAAACCATCTAAATGCAGAGTAACTGAGTGTAGAAACTGGTTCAACGTATTTAAATTGTTCTAATGTATATCATTAATAAAGAACAAATGCTGATAGCTTTATTGATATTGTATGAATGTGCTGCACTAACATAAGGGTGAGGGTCCCTGAGAAGCTGAGATGCAGGGTTTGGGACGCAGTAGGGTTAGGTTGCAAAGAGACTTTATTAATGACTGTTAGCGACGAGGTAGATCAGGAGAAATACAATAATAAGAACAAATGCAGCAACCCCAAAGGCCATAATAACTTTCCTATGCTTTGTAAAAAGAGTGTTCGCCCTGGTTCTTTTATTTATTCCAATAAGATATCTCACGTTTTGTTCAGTTAAATTAGGTTCCAAATACATCTCACTGACATAATAGCTTCCCCCATTCTCCTGAACTGTTCTCTGGATCATTTCAATCAGCTCAGAAACCTGTTCAGCCTGTTCTGCTCCAGTTGCTTTGTTATTGAAAGCACAATATCGGTTCCCACACTTCTGAATCAGCCCCTTAAGATCTTTATTATCTGAGTATCTCACATAGTCACGCAGTGAGCCAACCCCTAAATCTTCTTTCCGGGTGAACAGGACAATCATGTGCCTCATGGCTTCAACTCCAAAAATCTCCTCTACTCCCTTCACTGCATCCTTGTCTTCCTCAGTGTAACGGCCCAGCTGGGTGACCAGCAGCAGAGCGTGGGGGCCAGGGGCAGAGAGTGCGATACAACGAACAATCTCTCTATGAGTTACTGTCTCACAAACCTTTCCGTCAAAAATGGCAGGTGTATCAATAACCACAAGCTCCCTCCCATTCCAGCTCCTTTGCCCTTTTGCACAAGTCAAAGTTACTGACTTTGCCCCGAGTTTGGACTCAAACTTTCTCTCGCCAAGGATGGAGTTTCCTGTTGCACTTTTCCCAGCTCCAGTTTTACCAACGAGGATGATTCTGAGTTCCGATCTCCTGCCGTCATCTGCAGGTGCTGGGAACAGGTTTGACAGTCAGAACATCATTGCACAGATAAAAGTAAATGAGTAGGAGTTACATCTACTTATACTATTTTTAATTAACCTGCATTAAAATAGTGTACTCTGGGGCTGATAGTCCCAGAGTAAATAACATCCATCCAATCCCACATCCCAGCTTGTCTCTGTCCTCGTGGATGGCTTGTCACTTTAAACTGAACATGACCAAAACTCCTTATCCTCTCTCCCAAACCGTCTCCGCTTCCTCCTTTTTCTATCATTCTTCGGAACACTGCCATTCTCACCGTCACACAGGCCAGCAATCCAGGGGCAATTTTTTACTCCTCTCTCTCCTTTGTCCCACACATCTAGGCCATATCCAAATCCAACTGGTTCTTCCTCCTCAGCACCTCCAAGATCTGTCCTTTTCTCTCCAACCCTACATCCAAGTTCCCTTTCAGAACCTCAGTGTATTCTGCCTTGATTACTGCAAGTCCTCCTCTCTGGCCTCTCCAACATATACATCAGACCCTTCAGTGCATTCAGAATATTACCACTAAATGTGTCTTCCTGGCCTGTTGGTTCGATCATGCAACTTCTCTCATTCTATTCTGCCGTTGTCTCCTTGTCCGACAGGATGGGTTCTTATACCGCACTCGTCACTGTCGAATCGGAGCACTTCTGTCTCTGGTTTCACACAGATAACTCCTGGACCCACACACAGAGCTGACGCTCTTTGTACTGCATCCTAGAGTCAGATGTACACACGAGGCGTATAAAAACAAACCCTTGTGTTCTGGTCAGACCACTTCCTCCTTCAGACGGAGATCAGATACTTTCAAATCTCTGAACATTTGACCATCACATTTAAGCTTCTTGGCTCTACCTTCAAATTTCTATAGGACTCTGCACCTCATTACATATCCTCCCTTGTCAACCATTGCATTGCCCCATCCCCTCCACTCTGCTATTGCTCCTAACCTGGTTTTCAGATTCTTGCATAATCACCTCAGTGCCTTCTTCATTGTAGCCCCCAATGAATGCATGGTATGATCTCACTGAGCTCACCTGCAAAATTACTAGTGTGTCCACATCAAAGTCCCCCTTAAAAACCCACTTCTGCTGTGCTGCATACAGTGAATCAGGTTGACTTGCCGATAAATTACCTCCTGTTCTTTCCTAGCTCTATATAGTTGGTCAAACAGGATAACACATTTCATACACATTTGTTTCCATTTTTTGGTTTAAATTTGAAAAAAGTTGACCAGATCTGACTGGAAATGATTGGGGGAGCTGGAGAATGGGGTGTGCCTGGTACACAGATTCTCAGTCGTTGGATTGGAACGAAGCTCTGCCGTGCTTCCACTTGCATCTCCTTCTTGATCAAAAGTGGTAAGTTCTTGATTTACAGTTTGCAGCTGCTGTAGCTGCCCAAGATATGGACAAATTTACAGATACTGGGAAAGGGATTTTCTTTGTGGGGGTTGTCCCCAGCAGAAGAGAAAGTTACAAGGGACATGTCACTACCATTCCCCCAGTAACTGCACCCAGGCTAGAGCTTCTGAAATAATTTTGGGTGACTAAAGATATATTCAGAATATGCCTCAATCCTCTAGTGCTTGTGGGGGTCTTTTACTTTACTGGAAAACACTTGAGCTGAGCAAAATATAGAAGGCCAGAATAGGGCCTTTTGTGTAACCGTCTTACCATAGAAGGTTACAGCGTCTGCTCCTCTCTGCTTCCTCCCATCCATCTCGCCCTGAAATATTTGTAATAAAACATGTTATTTACAAACATACTTTAACCAAGGAGCTCAGAACATAGAAAAATACTCATTTAGAAAAACTCAGTAGTACACATAATCAATAGTAATAACAATAATCACTGCTATGTAGTTCTATTATGGTCAGAAAAGTCAGTTTCTGAACATAATACCTTGATATTTCATGTTTAACCTCCATTAGTGTTTTCATCACATCTGCCTAACTTTAAGCACATGGGTAGTCCTCCTGAAGTCAAGAGAGTTAGGTTTAGCCTCTGAAAATCAGTTCTGTTATTGCAGCCTTGTACATACCTACATTTTCATCAGCAATAGAGATTCTGGAATCAGAACTTAGTCAACAGTTTGACTGTTGACGCACAAGGCTGAGAGAATACAGCTTGTACTTCAGTACTGATACTGCCTTTGCAGCGCTAACTTGTACAAAAGAGGTGTCAGTTCAGAAATTAAGTGGCTATGATTCATTCAGAGCCCATTTTGGGAGAAGATGGCATAACTAGAGCTGGGCAAAAAATTTTGATGCAATTTTTTTCACTGAAAAATGCAGAATTGGGTCGACCAAAACATTTTGTAAATTTGAGTTGAATTTGCCAAAATATTTTGGCTGGAAAAAAAATTCAGAAAAAGTTGAAATGTTTCATTTTGACATTTTCTAAATTCTGGGATGCATTAGCAGGAGTGTTATAAGCAAGACACAAGAAGTAATTCTTCTGCTCTACTCCGTGCTGATTAGCCCTCAACTGGAATATTGTGTCCAGTTCTGGGCGCCACTTTTCAGGAAGATGTGGACAAATTGAAGAGAGTTTAGAGAAGCTCAACAAAAATGATTAAATGTCTAGAAAACATGACCTATGAGGGAAGATTGAAAGAACTGGATTTGTTTAGTCTGGAAAAGAAAAGACTGAGAGGGGACATGACAACAAATTTCAAGCACGTAAAAGGTTGTTACAAGGAGGAGGGAGAAATTTTTTTTTCTTAACCTCTGAGGACAGGACCACCTCTGGGGCACTTGGCATTGGCCACTGTCGGTAGACAGGATACTGGGCAGGATGGACCTTTGGTCTGACTCAGTATGGCCGTTCTTATGTTCTTATGACAACAAGCAATGGGCTTAAATTGCAGCAAGGGAGGTTTAGGTTGGACATTAGGAAAAACTTCATAACTGTCAGGGTGGTTAAGCACTGGAATAAATTGCCTAGGGAGGTTGTGGAATCTCCATCATTGGAGATTTTGAAGAGCAGTGTGGACAAACACTTGTCAGGAATGGTCTAGATAATACTCAGTCTTGCCATGAGTGCAGGGGACTGGACTAGATGACCTTTTGAGGTCTCTTCCAGTCCCTATGATTCTATTAACCACTGCATCAGTGAACTTTGCTGATAAGATCAACCAAATGTGCATGGAACTACATGGGAAAGAAATCTCCATTCCTGACCAGATCATATTATCCCCCCAGCCACCCTGGACTGAATTTGACCCCATCACACATGCTGAAGATCAAAAAGACCTGGAAAATATTACAGCCGCAACCTTTGACATGGATCCATACCCCTCTTGGTTGATGAATGCCAGAGAAAGCAAAAACTATGTTCGCTACCAGTGGAAATAGTCAATGCCTTCTTCAGAAAACACACTCGCCAAAATCCATGAAAAGCACAATACTTCACCCAATCCTCAGGAATCCATCAGTAGTCCCTAATGCCCTCCAATCATTATCCTGTCTCCAACCTTCCATTTCTGGCCAAAATCAAGGAGAAAGTAGTAACCACAAAGTGCCAGCAACATGTGACATAAGCCAACATCCTGGCTGCCTCATAGTCAGGGTTCAGACTAGGGCACAGCACAGAGACAGCTCTAGTGGCACTAAAAAGATGACCATGGACATAGTGATTCACCATCGGCTGAGCTGCCAACACCATGTCAGTGGTACTGAAGACACACAGATACGGCCGTGATGAAGATGTCATAAGAACCAGTGAACAAAACAGAATAGAATCTGATATGTGCACTAAGAGTGACAGACTGTGTTGTGGAATTTAAATTGACTGAGGTAGACAGGGTATTTCGCCTTTTCTTCTACATTAGAAAACTCCACTGGTATAACATGAATCATTGTAGTAAACTGAGGTATCTTATTGTGACTATGTGGGATCACGCGGTTACAGTTTCACAATTTTTTAACTGTTTCCAAATGGTTATTTCAGCGCATGCAAAGCTTCATAGAACTAGAACTGGTTTTAAAAAGAAAACGGACAATTTTGAAAGTATTTTCATTAAACTTCCTTCATTCTTTTACCAACTACAGAGCTGATCAATTTTTTTTGAAAATTTGAAAAAAAAAATCAGTATAAAAATTTCTTGAAATAGCCCTGTTCCTTCCTATCCCGTTTATTCATCCAGCTTTAGAAGAACACTTTCACCTGATGAAATTAATAGGCAGGAAGTTTAATAAGAGGATGTACTTTTTCACCTAATGCACAACTAACCTGTGGAACTCATTTCCATGGGAAGTTATGATGTCCAAAAATATAACTGGGTTAAAGAAAGAACTGGATATGTTCATAGAGAATAGGTCTATCAATGGCTATTGGCTGAAAAGGCCAGGGGTTACAATCAACCCCATGCTCGCGGTGATCCTAAACCTGTGAGTACCAGAAGCCAGGAGTGGAAGAAAGTGCCCTGTTCTGGACACTCCCCCTGAAGTTCTGGCATGGGTGATTGTCATAGACAGGCTACTGGGCAAGATGGAACATGATCTGATCTAGTTAGGAGGCAGTGTGTGTTTTTCTAGGAATTGTTCAAGCCGGGATTCAAGAAAGCAGAGGAAGACCCAGAGTCAAAGGTAGATTCTCTGCGTGCTTCTGATTTTGTCTTCCTAAGCTTCCCACCTATATATCTCTATGATCTACTTTTTGATCACTTGCTGCCAGCTCACAGTGCTGCTCACAATCTCAAAAGGGCCTGTTCTCATGAGCTTACAAGTCTGGTTTCTCTATCAAATTGGTTCTGACACATAGTAACCAAACCTTAGAACCTCTGTGGATTTGTCCTTCACTAGTACATACCCGCATGGTTTTCCCAAGTGATTGATAGCCTGACATTTCTCCTTGAAAACAGGGATCTTAAACAGCTTGTTCCTGAAAAATCAATGGAACTGGTTAATACTCATGAAAGCCAAGACCAAATCCCAACTTGTATGTGTCTCTTTGTTCCTGTGCAAACTGAAGGGTGGTTTATTTCTTAATTATTATTTTATTTATACTGTGCCATGAATATGCATGGCATTACAGATGAAGAGAAGACAAAGGGGGAGATTTTCAGAGGCATAAATTGCAGTTCATGTTCATGGGCGCTAGGTCCCTAACTGATATTTGTGCCTTTGAAACTCTTCCTCCATGTCCCTACAACAAGAGCTTAGAAGCTAAGATCTTGATCCTGCAAGTGGAGCTGTTAGTGCAGGGGTCAGCAGCCTTTGTCACCCGGCCCGTCAGGGTAAAGCCACTGGCCAGCCAGGCCGATGTGTTTATCTGGAGTGTCCATAGGCACCGAGCCCAGCAGCTCCCACTGGCCGTGGTTCGCTGTTCCCAGCCAATGGGGGCTGTGAGAAGCAGTGGCTAGCACGTCCCTCAGCCTGCGCCGCTTCCTGCAGTCCCATTGGCCAGGAACGGCGAACCGCGGCCAGTGGGAGCTGCGGGGTTCTGTGCCTGCAGATGCTCCAGATAAACAAATTGGCCCGGCCCACCAGCGGCTACCCTGATGGGCCAGGTGACAAAGGTTGCCGACACCTGTGCTAGTGTAACCCACACACCTCCTGGGTGTGGTGTTTTATCCCCTCTAGTGGCACAGAGACCACTTAGAGAGAGAGATCAAATGAGTCTGCTCTACAGCCTTAGCTAATCGACAGCTGGCTTTTAGCTCATGCGGTAGAGGCTCATGCACTAAGCTTCAGAGATCCTCAGTTCTATCCTGCCCATCGGTGACTGGGGTCTGTCTGTGTTACACTAGCATGGATGCTGTCTCTGCATGGAGGTCTATTTACTGTAATTGTAGCTTTACCAAAGTGCAATGGTCTGTGCTAGTGGATTCAATTGCAGGATCAGGGTCTAAGACCTGAATCCATAAAGGGACTTTTAGTGAAAATCACTGGAATCCACAAACCCTGGGTTAGGCACCTAGGCTCCCGGTACACTGCATGGGGAGAGATAGGCTAAAGCCAGCATGCTAGGCCAGGAGCCAATGGGAGATGCTGCTGAGAAGGGGGTGGTCCTAAGTCCTGCCCCCTCAAGGAATTTGGTTCCTAAAGCCAGAACTGCAGGAAGGCACCTTGTTCTGCTTGCAACCCACAGCCAGGAACCCTCTTCTAGAGTCAGGCAGCTTCGGTGCCAGCCCAACTCCCTACAAAATGGTCGATGGTTGGACGACAACAGCTCCCTTATAACCTGCAGCCCAGTGGTTAGGGAAATCACCCAGGAGATAGAAGACATCAGTTCAATTCCCCCTTTGTCTGATGAGTAGGGATTTGAACAGGGTTTCCCCATGTCTCAAGTGAGTGACGTGCTCTATAGAGTCATTCTGGCCCAACGCATATTGAATAAAAAGTGAAATGGATTCAATGTGAGAGACTCAGAGACACCCACCTCAGACTGCTCCATAGTCCTACTGAATTGGGCCCGACAGGCATTGCCCTGCCTTTTTTCACCTGGTTTGAGGATCACACTTTGGCTTTGTCATGGGAACCCCATACTGTGGACTCGTTTGTATGCAGAGAGTGGAGGAAGGACAGACCACTCAGGATTTCATTTTACATTACACATCAGATATTCATATTTTCATTTTTTGGACTGGCTGCTTGCTTTTGTTTTGGGCCAGACTAAGCCTGAATCTATAGTGTAGGTGAGCTCATTGTGCTAGAATGTCTATAGTAAATTGATAGCTAAGAGTAGCTAGGCAGATGGCCTGCAGAGACTGAATACAATACCATCTTTTAAAAACTCTGGTTTGACTCTAAACCTGCAAATTGTGCACATAGCAAGCCCAGGTAAACATGAATTCCTACACTGTTACCCTGGTATCCCCTCCCATGGCTGATTTTAGATAATGAAACAAAAGGGAAACATTGAGTTGAGGAGGGCATAAGACAAAATGAAGTTTTGGAGAGGATGCCTTTTTGTCTTTGAGACATTCACTGAAGGCGGATGAGACAAAGCCATACATTTAGTCAAAGCAGGTAGAGGATAGAGAGTGAGAAATCATTGTAAGTATCAAAAGATATGTACTTGCTGTTACTCCAAGTCTCAGTTTGGCCCAAGATGGTCAAAGGGGAAAAGGTAGATAGAAGAGGGCTGAAAACAGAACCTTGATAAAGCAAGGAGCTGCCACCAGACACAGACAAAGTGCATTTTATAAGTTGGTCCTGTAAATAATTAGGACACAAGGGAAGCTTAGATGCTCACATAATTATGGAGGTAGATCAGGAGGATGGTCTGGTCCACACTGTTAAAGTCTACACTGGAGTCAAGGAGAATGGAGCAATCAGCAGAAAGGAGGCTGTATATTGCATTAGATTGTGGTGTATGTAACCAACACTCATGAAGGCTTTACTGTTGTTTCTTCTTGTTTACTTTCCTTAATCTAAAATAAGTCATTCCTAATGACAGCGTGTATAGGGAAAACAGTAATCCCCACTCTAATTGTAACCGCCACCCTCCCATTGAAAAGGAAAGTAACTGCCCCCAGAGAAAGAGGATCAGCACAAAATTCAAGAATAACCCACCTCTCCTTTATCTTTACCTCAGAGGCCCTTACATCCTTCTCTGGATGTTCTGAGGATCTCTAAACATCCAGGTTTGCTGAAAACAAACAAAAAATACAGAAAAGGAAAACAAATTAGTAATCAGTCACCAAAAGGACAAGGAACTTTCTTAGTAAAATAATTCATTTCTGCTGCATGCCAACCTGCAAGGCTATGGAGAATTTGTTCATGAATCAATTAAACCTTCTAATGATGGAAAAGATGGACTTGTAAAATCATAGATTATCAGGAACCTCAGGAGATCATCAAGTCCAACCCCCTGCTCAAAGCAGGACCAACCCCCAGACAGATTTTTACCCCAGCTTCCTAAATAGGCCCCCTCAAGGATTGAACTCACAACCCTGGGTTTAAGAGGCCAATGCCCAAACCACTGAGCTATCCCCCCCCCTCAAATTACAGAGCACTTTTTATAAACATATGTTACATTCAAATGCTTTACTGTTTGTTCTCGTGATTTTTTATGGTCCATTAATGTTGATTTTCAATAACTCGTGGAGCACTGGGGAAGTTCCAGAAGACTGAAAGGAAGTTAAAGTTGTGGCAATATTTTGAAAGATTAAAGATTAAATGGGATGACCTGGGTAATTATAGACCTGTCAGTCTGACATTGATCCCGGGCAAGATAAATAGCACACATGGCCATATTCAGGGCATATGCACAGTCTGATGTGACTGGCATCTCCAGAGGGCAGAGTCTGGGAAGCTTGAAACACACTAAGAATTCCTCAGAAACCTGCTGCGTCCGTTCTGATTTATATGTTCACTTTCAACCACCCAGTTCTTCTCTTGGAATTCAATACCTAATGTAGAATTATCTACCTAAGTTTCATTATCACAAAGCAATTTCCAAGGGAATCTCCTTTCTCCCTTGAAGTTCTTGGCACAGAAATGATTTAGGCACCAAAAGCCAAGTTTTTAAAGGTATTTCGGTGCCTAAAGATGCAGATAGCCACCTAGTGTGATTTTCAAAAGCACCTAAATAGGTTAGGTGCCTAAGTTCCACTGAAAGTAATGAAAATGCTTAAAATATTTCTTGTAAAAATGTGAGCAGACAAAAAATTAGGATCTAGATGGTACGGTATGAACTGAGAAAGTTCTGTTCTGCCCAGGAATTGGTGGAATTGTTTAAAATCTCACTTGTCCGTTGTATTTTCATCACCTGTCTCAGTGATTCCACATACACTATTTTAAACCAAATTCCCACAAGCTATTCTAAATGCAGACAACATTTGATCGTACGAGGTGCTGAGCACCTGCAGAGAAGGTTTGAGGGCACTGGGCATCACTGCACCCGAGCTGATCTCAGCACAGCGACTGAGTAGGGAGGAAGGTGGCTTTATAATATAATATAATAATGGAGGCTTTGTGCCTCCATTAACTTGGGACAAAGGCGGGTCTGGGGGAGGGCTGGACTCTCACAGGACACTAGCCTCCAGGCTGCCCAAAATTACACCCGGCTGCCTTGGGGTTGTTGCAGGTTTTGGGAATAACAATTTATATAATCTGTAAATGTCAAGCATTCTCTGTCAAAACTTTATTCCCCACCACCCCCATGCGTTCCCATCTCCCCTTTGGAAACAGATCTCAGGCAGACTTCAGGCACCCAAATATCAAACAGAAAGACACAGGCTTGTTCCCTGTATTTCCTCCTGCTACCTTAGAAGTGTTTTCATTTGTCAAGCTTTGTAGCCAGTTTAAAATACCTCCCTTGCCCACCCTCATTTTCTCTAACTCTTAGAGACACACAGACACACACAGACACACACACACAACTTTTTCATTGTCTGGTCAAATTGGAGATCAAACCTCTGATATTTCTTCAGATTAAGCAGATATTTCCGTCTTCTGCACGGTCCTTCCAGCCGGTGGTATTATACAACAATGTCTGAAGTCTTCTGGTTTCCTCTTTTTGACAGTAGCTTCATATTAATAGTTGATGAAACTGTTGTGAAAATGAAAACGAACTACTCAGTGATCCAAATTTCGTTCTAAGTAAATGCAGTGGGATGAGCTACTGCCACTGACCAGGAAATACCATTTGCCAAAAAAACAAGTCTAAATTTTACAGGAAGTGGGTTTGTGCAGAACAGTAGCAACGGATGAGAACATTCAGCCTGCAACCAAAGTTCTCTATGTTCAAATACAGAATGATATCAATAGTCATAAAGAAAGCAGCACAAAGAGTTATATGAACAGCATGCAGCAGACCTAACCATTTGGCAAATATGTCCATTCTAAGGGACAAAATATAGGATTGTACCCTGGAAGATGTATGTGCATGAGAAACAATACAAAATGCACAACCGGATTCATCAGAGATCTATATAAGTGTGTGTGTATATACTTATATACATTTCTGATGCTCTGACAAAAATGCTTCAGATAAAAGCGGCAGGCAGAACCATATCATGAATTTGGACTGCCTGTTGCCCTGCTAACAGAGCTTGGGCTTTCCAGTGCTCGACTGCCCGGGTTACCTCTTCTACTTCTCCTGTTTTTTCTGTTACTTGTTTGGCCAGCATGCCAGCATGCTGTCTGAGCCATCTCACTGCCAGAGACATGAGTTGCAAAATTCTTGCTTTTTTACTTTACAATAACAAATGGAAAAATGGAGACGTTGATACTAATGAATAGCAATGCATAGAAATTCTTCCCTTTCTTCTAAATGGAAATGGTAGAATTCTCAATAATAATGCAGAAAAGGCGGAATTGTTCAAGAAGTATTTCTGTTCTGTATTTACAACAAAAAACAGATGATGTAGTCAGATCATATGATAACACTCTTTCCATTTCACTTAGAATCAGGAGGGTGTTAAACAGCAACTACTCATCTCAACCGCTGATCTTAAACACAAAAAAGAAGTTTACAAGAAGTGGAAGATTGGACAAATGACCAGGGAGGAGTATAAAAATATTGCTCAGGCATGCAGGAGTGAAATCAGGAAGGCCAAATCGCACTTGGAGTTGCAGCTAGCAAGGGATGTTAAGAGTAACAAGAAGGGTTTCTTCAGGTATGTTAGCAACAAGAAGAAAGTCAAGGAAAGTGTGGGCCCCTTACTGAATGAGGGAGGTAACCTAGTGACAGAGGATGTGGAAAAAGCTAATGTACTCAATGATTTTTTTGCCTCTGTCTTCACAAACAAGGTCAGCTCCCAGACTGCTGGACTGGGCAGCACAGTATGGGGAGGAGGTGACCAGCCCTCCGTGAAGAAAGAAATGGTTCGGGATTATTTAGAAAAACTGGATGAGCACAAATCCATGGGGCCGGATGCGCTGCATCCGAGGGTGCTAAAGGAGTTGGCGGATGTGATTGCAGAGCCATTGGCCATCATCTTTGAAAACTCATGGCGATGGGGGGAGGTCCCGGATGACTGGAAAAAGGGTAATGTAGTGCCCATCTTTAAAAAAGGGAAGAAGGAGTATCCGGGAAACTACAGGCCAGTCAGCCTCACCTCAGTCCCTGGAAAAATCATGGAGCAGGTCCTCAAGGAATCAATTTTGAAGCACTTCAAGGAGAGGAAAGTGATCAGGAACACTCAGCATGGATTCACCAAGGGCAAGTCATGCCTGACTAGCCTAATTGCCTTCTATGAGGAGATAATTGGGTCTGTGGATGAGGGGAAAGCAGTGGATGTGTTATTTCTTGACTTTAGCAAAGCTTTTAATACTGTCTCCCACAGTATTCTTGTCAGCAAGTTAAAGAAGTATGGGCTGGATGAATGGACTATAAGGTGGATAGAAAGCTGGCTAGATCGTTGGGCTCAACTAGTAGTGATCAATGGCTCCATGTCTAGTTGGCAGCCGGTTTCAAATGGAGTGCCCCAAGGGTTGGTCCCAGGGCCGGTTTTGCTCAATATCTTCATTAATGATCTGGAGGATGGCATGGAACGTACCCTTAGCAAGTTTGCAGATGACACTAAGCTGTGGGGAGAGGTAGATACACTGGAGGGTAGGGATAGGATACAGAGGGACCTAGACAAATTGAAGGATTGGGCCAAAATAAATCTGATGAGGTTCAACAAGGACAAGTGCAGAGTCCTGCACTTAGGACGGAAGAATCCCATGCACTGCTACAGACTAGGGACTGAATGGCTAGGCAGCAGTTCTGCAGAAAAGGACCTGGGGATTACAGTGGATGAGAAGCTGGATATGAGTCAACAGTGTGCCCTTGTTGCCAAGAAGGCTAACGACATTTTGGGCTGTATAAGTAGGGGCATTGCCAGCAGATCGAGGGATGTGATCGTTCCCCTCTATTCGACATTGGTGAGGCCTCATCTCGAGTACTGTGTCCAGTTTTGGGCCCCACACTACAAGAAGGATTTGGAAAAAATTGGAAAGAGTCCCGCGGAGGGCAACAAAAATGATTAGGGGGCTGGAGCACATGACTTATGAGGAGAGGCTGAGGGAACTGGGATTGTTTAGTCTGAAGAAGAGAAGAATGAGAGGGGATTTGATAGCTGCTTTCAACTACCTGAAAGGGGGTTCCAAAGAGGATGGATCTTTGTGGACATGCCCTCTGGATAAATCAGCAAATCCTAATAACTTGCATGCAAGAGTTTTAAAAGAATCCTGACAATGGTATTGGTCCATTAGTAGGTAGAAATGGTAGAATTGACAGCAATAATGTAGAAAAAGCAGAAGTGTGTAAGAAATATTTCTTTTTTGTATTTGGGGGAAAGGTAGATATAGTCATATCACAAGATGATGAAATACTTTTCATTCCGTTAGTAACAGAGAAGGATGCTAAAACAGCAGCTGTTAAAGTCAGACCTTTTAAAATCAGCAGGTCCAGATAATTTGCCACCAAGAGTTTTACAAGAACTGGCTGCAGAGCTCACAGGATCAAAAATGTTGATTTTTAATAAGCCTTGAAACACTGGGGAAATTCTAAAAGAGAGGACGAATGTTAATATCATGCCAATGTTTAAAATGGGTAAACAGGATAACCCGGATAATTATAGGCCTGTCAGTCCGACGTTGATCCCAGGGAAGATAATGGAGTGGCTGATATGGGATTTGATTAATAAAGAATTAAAGGATGGTGTGACCCTATAAGACCCACAGTGTCCACTGGCAAAATGTTCCACTGCCTGTAACTATAAAGCTAACCAGGACTGACAAACTCTCTCCACATAACACTGTGCTGTGCTGTCATAATATTTATCCAAAGAGTATCTTGTAAGATATCAGATAAAACTGGTGACACACTGATAATGAATATAATTTTGTGATATAGAGAGTTATGTATTGTGAAAGACCCAGACCAGTGGGGTACAGGAGTCTGGTAGAGGGCAAATATACTGGTCACTGGATGAGTAGTTTTCTGTTCCCTGAGTGACCAGAGCAGGGGCTGCACTAGAGTAATCAGGAACCGGCTAGAACCAGTTAAGGCAGGCAGGCTAATTAGGACACCTGGAGCCAATTAAGAAGAAGCTGCTAGAATCAATTAAGGCAGGCTAATCAGGGCACCTGGGTTTTAAAAGGAGCTCACTTCAGTTTGTGGTGAGTGTGAGGAGCTGGGAGCAAGAGGCGCAAGGAGCTGAGAGGGTGTGCTGCTGGAGGACTGAGGAGCACAAGCGTTATCAGACACCAGGAGGAAGGTCCTGTGGTGAGAATAAGGAAGATGTTTGGAGGAGGCCATGGGGAAGTAGCCCAGGGAGTTGTAGCTGTCATGCAGCTTTTACAGGAGGCACTCTAGGCAGCTGCAGTCCACAGGGACCCTGGACTGGAACCCGGAGTAGAGGGCGGGCCCGGGTTCCCTCCAAACCTCCCAATTGACCTGGACTGTGGGTTCTCCCAGAGGGGAAGGTCTCTGGGCTGTTCCCCAACCCACATGGTGAATCTCTGAGGAAAGAAAATCCGCCAATACGCGCAGGACCCACCAAGATAGAGGAGGAACTTTGTCACACTGATTTCAGGAGTGGGATCTTGGGGTGCACAGCACGGGGGAAGAAGGAGGGTGATTAAAAAAAAAACCAACAACAAAAAACAAACAAAAAAAAGGGAGAGGGTTTATTTTTTTTCACCACAATGGATGACGTAGTGCGGGCACTGATACAAGCTACGGCGGCCCAGCAGGAGGCTACCCGTGTCCAGGCAGCCGCCCAACGGGAGGCAGTGCGGCTGCAGCAAGAGACTAATCGCCTGCTGATGGACCAGGCTGCTCAAGACCGAGCTATGTTGCGGGAACTGGTAAACCAGGTAAAGTCCCTTACAGAGCTGAATCGCGGCCATGATGGGACGCGGCTCATACGGGCCAGCCGTTGGCTGGAGAAAATGACACGGGAGGAGGATGTAGAGGCATACCTTCTGGCCTTTGAGAGGACAGCCCTATGGGAGGTCTGGCCTCAAGATCAGTGGTCTGGCATCCTTGCCCCATTCTTGTGTGGGGAGGCCCAGAAGGCTTACGGCCTGAAGAGGCTGCGGCAGACTACCCCCAGCTGAAAGCAGAGATCCTGGCCAGATCTGGGGTAATGACAGCAGTGCGGGCCCAGAAGTATCACGGTTGGAGGTACCAGGAAGACAAAACCCCGCGGTCCCAATTGTATGACCTCATCCATCTCGCATGAAAGTGGTTGCAAACAGAGTCCCGGAGTCCGGAAGCGATACTAGCGGTTCTGGTCATCGACTGATAGATGAGGGGACTACCACCAGACCTTCGTGCCTGGGTAAGCCAGAACGAACCCTCCACCTATGACGAGGTTGTCGCCCTGGTAGAGAGGCGAAGAACAGCGAGGGAGCTGACCCGACCAGTTAAGGAAGAGGCACCCCGGGTTAAACTAGCAGCACCAAGCCCTAAAGTTCGGGTGACTGGGCAACCAGGAGAGCCCAGGTGGAAAAAGAGAGAGGCTGAAGGCCCATCAGAGGCCACAAAGAGTCGGAGCACTGAGGGAGAAGAGGATCCTGATGTTAG